AGTAATCGGACTAATAATCGACTAATCGCTTGTTTGTTGACGACCAAAAGAACGAGAGCCGATTGCAGTTAGTTGATGTAGCTGCATCCACAGAGGAGAGAGGAGAGAGAGAGGGAGAGAGGAGGAGAGAGACGTTCCTTCTCGCCATTGAAATGCACTTTACCCTGGTTTGCTTTTTTTTTGCCTCTGCTGTCACTTTTTCTCTCGCTCTGCTGCAGCGCCGATGGAACGGACAGATTACGTGGGGTACCGAAGGAGCAGAAAAATATAATCATATTAGTATATATAAAATAAAACACCTTCTCCCGACCGACTGTCACCGGCGAGGAAGATTTGGTCTAGCCGAGGGAGGGAAGCCGAGGTTGGGCTCAGCGGGGAAAGAAAAACACAACATTGCCGAAAAGGCAGCGAGGGCGTTCTGTCCCTTCCTTTTTTTCCCCCCTCTCTCCCCTTCCGCACGCTCCTCACCCCATCAACCTCAACCTTTCACCAGCAGACGGAGGGGGGGTTACTGCCGGACACACAATGAATGGGCTGTGCTGGAAATCTGGAGGTCTTGTGATAGGGAGTGCAGCCCTGCGAAAGGCAGCGTATGCCCGTGGACGGCGGTCGGGGGATGAAATGTGTCGTGTTTTTGCAGGAGCCGGGGAAGGGAGAAGGGGAGGGAGAGAGAGGAGAGGGAGGGCCGGTTAGGTCTTTTCGGCCGGGCCCTGTCGTTTCGTTGCTGTGCCGATGCCGGTGCGTGGCGCAGTTCCCATGAGATCGGTGTGACGGTGGCAGCCAGGGTCGAAGCAGGGAAAACCACACAAAACGCACTCTTTGTTTCTCACTCCGCCATTCTGCAAACCACACTATAACTCGTTAAAGAGGAGTCTCTTTTGGCCGGTGTAAAACCAGTCGTTATTTACAACGGGGACCTAAAAGTGCTACGCTTTTCTTTGGCTCGGAGAACTCCACAAGGGTCTGAGGCCTGAACCAGGACCTGAGTCATGGCTGGGGGGCCCAAAGAGAGGCCGCACAACAGATCTGGATAAGCTTTATTGGCCTAGAGTCTTGAGGCCTTTGAGGACAATTAGGATTAGATTGATCTTTAATCTAAAACAGTAAGGCAAGCCTATAAATTGTTGTCCTAGAAGTAAAGCTGCTCAACTAATCCACATTTTTTGATCACGACTTTCGTCATTTTGGGCCAAACGATCTCAAAACTAAATAAAATCGGGCGGAAACGGTCGTATTACAGTTCTGCGTATTTCCGTCGCCACTGCACACGAGTCATGCGCTCGGTTTACTCGCCGTTCCCGACCGTGAAGTTTCTCGGGAGCGCCGTAACTGTTGCGTTTGCGTTCGCGGCACTCGCTGCGGTCGTCTCTCGTCACGTTGTTTGCTTCCTTGAACAGGGTAACGCAGGAGACTTGACGAATGTTTACGGCGGGAAAGGAAAGTGTCCACTGAGCGACTTTTCCTTAAAGTGTTTCTGACAAATGGTCAATAGCAGCACGTTTCTGAAGTTTAAAGAATAATCGTGATTATGATTTCTTTTATTTTATCTCTTTGGGAGCACGAAAGTTAGATATCATATTAGAAACTTCTGAGTGACTTTATTTCTAAAAAGTAACAGATTAAACGACTTGTTCAGACCACCAGGGACCAAATATATTGTCGTTAACTCCCATGAATGCTGCTCAGAGTAACGCAGAGTCAGTTTAACTTTCACTCTTTCTGTTCCTGTAGTATCTAAACACCAGAATAGTTTGTTTGACCGTCTTACTCACTCTTTCTCTCCGGGTCTCTGGATTAGTGTGTTCCTGTAATTTATGTAAATATATAAATAGTTTCAGCCTGTAAATATTTGAATAGACTCTCCCTTTGTAGATTATTTTACTTAATAATAATAATAATAATAATAATAATGATGCATTTGCACTGCAGATTAAGAACTTGTTAAACATCCAACTCTTAGAAACAAACAAGAAATGGTAACTAAAATAGTTCCTTGTAAACCTTTTAGGTGTTTTTATGCAAATATGATTAAATGCTGGTGGTAAAATAACTGATAATCCTCAGCTGCAATCTGTTTAGCACCGTCCTAGTAAAGTGTTAATTAATTAATATCAATTCCACAAGGTAAACCCGCTGTTTGTCTCCCATTCACTGTAGGTGGCGACGAGTAGGCGGTGAAGTAAACCAGACCCACGACGAGCAGAGAAAAGGTTGAAACGTTCGAACGCAGCGTCGTGTTAAAGGGGCGACTGTCTCCGATGGCCGCGGTCAGTGTCGGGGAATGAATTACATGTTTTCTGATTTCAAAGAGGCTTACTGTCGGCGCTGCCAAGTTGGAGAACATCCAGGGAGAGAGCTGAGCAAAAAGCGGCCATTCATAGTTTGAACAAACTGGAGATATAATCCGACGTTCCTAGTTTTAAAATTAACTCTTCATCTCTCCGACTGTACACATCCGTCGCGGTAATCTACAAGCAGAAGATGTTTTGTGTGCTCGCACGCAGTGACACCTCCAACAGAGACGTACCGACTTCTCCTGTGTCACAGGTCTGTTTATAGACGAGGAAAGTCGAGGCCGAGCACTGCTAATCCCACGATGGTACGCTGGACTGCTGTAGTAGTACACTTTCTTTAAAAACATGACCTAGATGTATCAGGTTTTGCTCACACGGACAGATTTCTCGAGTTAGACCGATGTGGCAGGTTTCCCAAAATAATCCGCCTTTTCATTTTAATATCGGATATCAGCGAGTCCGTGTCCTCACCGCCAACTGTCCTGAAGAAAGTCTCATCAACCTGCGTCTCAGTTGAGATCAGAGATAAAACACAGAATTGAATTTCCACTCAGAGTCATTGTCATTATTTATAGGTCAAGGCTTTATCCACTGGAAGAATACCAAACATTTACTCCCATGGCAAGACAAAGGGTTTCTGCTATTCATATTTGGGTCAAGAAGTCCAAAACTGGTTCATTTTTCCGGAACAAGACGAAGGGAACAAGTGGAGTCTTGCATAAAGTAACCCCAGTGTTGAAAGGGAAGTGCGACGTAGACCTACAGTGTGTTAGAGAACTGAACCAATGACCGTAAGTGCTCCAGTCCTTATGAAAACCAATGCTGCTTTCAGAAGCTATAAATATCCAGAGACGATAGCATTAAAAGATACCACACAAGCAATAAAACGAGAGTGTACAGCCGCACTAGCAGCTCTTTTTCAGCTGGCCTGGAAAACCTGGAAATTCACAGGCTACTTTTCCAGTCGTGGAAAAACACCTGGGAATTGATTAAAACGACCGAATATCCTGGAAATAATCTGTGTTGTCCTGAAACTGTGTAACTGTATTTGAGCTCTGTGTAAAACCTTGGGTTGGAGGAAGACTGTAGTAAACTGTAGTCGAATCACCGGAGATGCTGCAGGAGAAATCTGCTGTCGTGAGCAAGCGAACGTGTCCCATAATCGCTGACCGCCTTCCTGTAATAAACCCGAGTCACTCGTCATGAATAAAACCGAGGCGAATGTGTCAATAATAGGCCGACTGGTAAATTATATGACCGTTAGTGAGAAAGTGCTGTCCTGTACTGAAGCGTAGAAAGAGTGGGAATCCGGAGATCGCTAAACATTGATTTAATAAGGTTCATAAATGTCTTTATATGACTTATTCTCTCTCTCTTTCTTTCTCTTTCTCTTTCTCTTCCTCAGACTGGTGTCCTCCATCCATGCCATCATGGCAACCACGGCGGGAGTCATCATTGTGTCATCCTGCCGGGGAAACATCATTAGTGACAGGTAAAGCACCTCCGAACCTCCTGATCAGCGGTCCACGTCAGACGGTTGAGTTTAGACATGAGATAAAAAAATAAAGATGTTTTTAGACGTTCAGGGCCAAGAACTGGAGATGGACTGTAACTTTAACGGGATCCAAGATGCTTTCCAGTTCAGAAAGGTTCAGCTTTTTGCAAATGTAGGGGAAGCTTCCAGGATGTCGTTTAAAAAGTCTTTATTCGTCAGGACTTATCAAATTAGAAAATCACCACTGGGTCTTCCTTCAGGACGAGTCCAGAGGCTTTCCTCATTCCTACCGTTGACCAGCTTGACTTCCAGAGCACCTTGCACCTGGATTTTAACACTAAATAACTGTGAGCCCCCGGTATTTTCCCTGTTCCCTTTATGCAAAATATCCTCTGATGTATGGTAGCAACATCCTGGCAACAAGCACATTTGTTTTCATAACTTCTTGAAAAGGAAAAACTGCTGTTTTCCACTTTCAACTACCTAAAAACACTCAGTCTTCCCATATCTTTATGATATAATGCAGCCTTAACAAACTATAAACCACTCGAATTTAAAAGAAAATGCATAGAGGCACATTACTCTGAAATTGAACTCGTAAGTATGTAAATTACAGGTTTAAAGCACACATCCGCAAGCTTCAGGCTTCGTGAGAGACGAGGAACTGCCTGCCTCTTTGTGTCTGTATGTGTAAACGCACTGTTAGCTTTGTGCTGACTCCTCGGCCTGCTTTCATCGCAGTTCAGTGTCAGGTTTCTTTTAAAAACCTGTCTGCTGACTTGTTCCTCTGGGAGAGCCACTTAAGGTTGGTGCAATTCACATGTTCCCACATTACCGCACAGGTTTGTTGCTGTATATGCTGCTGAACTGCACTTTCTGGTGTGAATTTGAATTGAAATAAAGATTTGAAGTGTTTGTAGTCTCAACAAGGTTTATCTGTGTACTTACACCAGAGCTGCAACAGTTAGTCGATGAATTGACTAGAACAGTCTACCTGCTGAATTAGAGAGCGCACTAATTAATGTTTTATAGTTTATAGTACTTATTGAAGCACTGTACTGATGACATTAGGCACTACTTTGTTATAACCAACCCAGGAAGGACGGATGAAAATTAGCAGCACATTTACATTGAAATGTAAATTGCTGACGTGTCCTGGAAAACCTGGGAAACTAGAGACTAGTATTCCAGTCATGGAAACACCTGGGAATTGGTTAGAATTCCCAAATATCCTGGAAGTAATCTGTGTTGTCCTGGGAAATCTTAATTGTGTTTTAGTCTGCCAAATTAATGTTCTGGTAAGAGTAATGTAGTCACTTTGAAATAGTAAACGCAGGTGTTAATTACACTAAATGGAACAGAGCCTTAATGTTTGTGTTTATTTACCATTTCAGGTCAAAATAGCTGCTGTGAAAAAGTCTAAAAAAACATCCTGGAAGACATTTTCTCCAGAAGAGTGGGAAATATAAATAAATAAATACATTGATTAGTTGTCAGCTATTAAATTAATCAACTAACCTCTTTGATTATCACTTTAAGTCGTATTTTCAGAAATTCTCTGATGTTTTTTCACCACTTTCCGGCATTTAACGCACCAAACGACTAATAGATTAATTGATGAAACGATTAATCGATAGTGAAAATAATCGCCCCCGTTAATCCCACTGAGTCAGCGGCCAGACACGGGCAGGCCCAGTTTCAGGCTGCTAATCTCGGCCGCCCCTCCCCTCCACCCGCAGGGTTTAATTCCCCCACAACGCTGCTCAGTTCTGCTGTCCTGTGACGTGCACAAGGCCTGGAGATTATCAGACACATGCTCCAGAGTCAGACCCATGAATACCCTAATGCTCCGGCCCAATCTGTCACTTCATTTAGCCTTCATTGCCTCAGTTGCAGTAACTTTGCACAACCTCCCGATACTGAGGAAATGGTATTAAAGGGTTATACCGCAGAGGGAGCAGGCTTCATTGTATTTACCCCGACACACGGATGTTTTCAGCTAAACTGACGAATACCCAGTTGGTATAATCCTTTTTAAAGGATGTTTTTACTTCATTCCCGTCAGTTATATTAACATTTTATTCACCGGGGTAATGACTGAGAACTGGGAACGCAGCAACGTCACAACAAAGAAATCAGACGGGACAAAAAACACGAGTCGACAGATTTTAAACCTCACTGTTTACAGACCAAACCTGCTGCTTCAGGTTTGACCCACTGTGCTTGCTGTAGAATCATACTTTAAATACAAACCTCATACAAAAAATAATTCCCTCAAGTTTTAGACCTTCTTTAACCTTTTGAGCTTCATATTTTTTATTTTATTTTTTTATTTGTTTGGCTCTAGTAACTTGCACCGCAGGTATTTCTTACGGCAAAAACACACACAGACATTGCGTAAAAAGCACCGAATAGCCGCCTGTGATTTGATTCGTCGTGATGGGTACGGTGGACAGTGAGGGTCACATTGGTGGCGGGTGTTAATGTCGGACCATGTGCACCATAGATGGGCCAATGGACACTTTTTAAAGGATCCCTAATGTGTACAATATATAATTTCTGCTGCTTGGTGCTCGCTCACATCAAAACGGTAACAAAAGACGAAGTTTGGGATCATGGGAGTTAAAAATAACAACAATAATATCATGTAAAGAATAAACAATGAGTTCAAATAAATGCATTTACAGACTCGTGTAGCCGTCGTTCGACCCCGAGCTGTTTGTTGTGCCTTACTGCTCTTAATCTCCATTCGCTGACCTTAAGAGCTGAAGAATCCAGCAGAGGTCAGAGGTCAGTGGCTCAGCTCTGCCCTGCAGCTTTGCTCCACTCTGTCCACATAATTAACCATCAGTGAAATGTGCGCTCATTAGAGTGCTGCAGCCGCCCAAGTTGTTTATTATACTGTACTTATATAAGGCTGCCTTAAAGCCGCCGCACGCACCGGTTACCCTCTACTCGCTCTGAATACTGAAATAAAACTACATAATCATTTACTCTTTATTGACTGTGAGACGGCCTTTTGTCCTGCTCACCTGTTACGTAAGAGGTCTAATAATTTATTATTATTCTGGTCAAAAGTTTTCCCACTTAAAACTGAGATTATGATTTCTTTTATCCTTCCATATTGTCTTCATGTAAACAACAAACACTGATAATTACTGGACTTTTTCTTATCTTATATGCTAAATAAAACCTTATTGAACAATCAGTCTCCGGCTCTTCAGAGCTGAACAAATATTTCCTGAGTGTGTAATTAAAAATAGATTTAAAATAATAATTCGCAGCTCACCTCTGCCCCAGAAGTCTGAGGCCTCGTCCATTTACGAGGGGAGATTGCTTTCATAATAGATGATCCCTTGTTATGCAAACCATTTTTTTTTTTTTCCACCTCTAAACTCCAGCAGGTCAGAGCCTGATTCGGTCCTGTGTGATCCTCAAGGAGACCGCAGCCTGTTCACCGTGAAGTTATTACCGATAAAAGAAACGAGGCCATCAGTGGTACGATTCCACAGTTCAGCTCTACATGTGTTAATGTGTAACGTTAGAGCAACACGGCGTAAGAAACAGCAGCAGGAGGGCATTGAGTGTTAAATGTTGTTTTTTAATGTTTAACGTTGTAGTACAAATTTACAGTCCTACTTTTGTGTTAAAATTTGCCACCCAAAGTAGTAAAGAACTTTTAGTCTGAGGAACTAAAAGGTTCCTTCAGCCCGTTGTCTGGATTTTCACTGTGATATAAAGACCCGCCGTCTTCTGTAACTCCTCGTTGATGAATGAATAAAAAACAAACCAGTGAGTGGGTGCAGATATCCATCGCTGCGATCCGCAACCCTAAAGTCCTTATCCTTTTAGTTCCCGTATTCGGCACTAGGGGACTTTTTAGGGGGTAAAACAGTGTCCTTGTCCTGCGGTGGAAACACTGAGTTCCTCCAAAGGTTCCTCGGGGAACGTTCCTGTGGTTGGGATCTGGCTGATGTCCACACAGCAGTGTTTTCATCGCTGTGTTTCTACAATTCTGACACATTTTCGTCCCTAAAAAGCTTTTTCTTTCACCGCACGCGAGTTGTATCTACATCGATGTCCTTCCCAGCTCTCGTTATGTGCTGATACCGCTCACGGAGACTTTGGTGCTGCTTGTTTGGATGCATTGAAGACGAGACAGAATCAATCGAGAAAACAATCTTAATACGATTTAATACAATTTTGAGTAACGTAATGTTTCTTTCTCCCTCAGGCACTGGCTGGCCACCTACTTCGTCATCTGGTACGGTGTGCCCTACATGACATACGACCTCTTCGCCATGTACCTCAGTCACTACCACCGCTTCCGCGTCAAGGGCCACGAGGACTACAAGCAGCATTCGCTGAGGACCGTAAACTCCTTCGTCCGTAGAGAGTTCCTGCTGGTGTTGCATCACATCGCCCTGCTCACTATCCTGCTGCCTGTCACACTGGTGAGGAGGGAGGGAGGGAGGGAGGGAGACAGATGAGGGAGGGAGGCAGCGTTGATGAGGTCTTGTTGTCAGTAGTCGAGGCCAGGCATTAAAAACTGAGTGTAACGCACTGGTAGTGATGGATCACCAGCTGCTGGTAGGACTCACCGTCCTGCAGTGCTGGTGCTAAAACGATTAACATCACAGATCACAATCCACACAGGGATTACTAACTGTTTACTACAACTCTTACGGATCTCACAGTGACACCAGACACATTTCAGTTGTTGTTGCTACTGTAGAATACACACATTTCAGTTGGATGGATTTATTTATTTATCTATCTGCTACTTTGCGGCCAACAGATTTTCGTTTTGAAATGAGAAACTCAAAACTGGGAAACAACCATTTATAAATAGTAAATCCTTTTTTAAATGGGAAAAACACCTAAAATAACCTGTTTTTCTTTTTCTTCTGTTCCCGATTTCTGGTTTTCCCATTTCATAACGAAAATCCGTTGGCCGCAAAGTACGCTGACCCCGGGGCAATTAAAATGCCACTTCAGGCTAACGAACGTAGAGAAACTCACTTGTTTTTCCGGACTTGATGATCTGGTTTCCTTTTCTTCTCTGTTGAGAGCTCGCAAGAAAGTGTTGGCAGGTAAAGACACTGTTTGTAAACAGATTTGGTTTGGTTTGGTGTCGTTAGAGGGTGTGGGGCGAACTCCTGGTATGTAGCGCGCGGTTTCCTGCAAGTTACAGCACGGAGGGCGAAACAGACGCGTCAGGTTTACTAAAAACAAGATGCAGTGACACAACAAGAGCCGACAGCATCTCGCTTACACCCGAGAGGATCTTTGTTGTTTTTTGATTTGATTGTTAGTAAATAAAAACATTGTACAGAAGTAAAAGTTGACTTTCGACAAGTAAAAAAAGCCCAGTTAACGTTGAACCTGCTGTATTTAGCAGATGCAGTGAAGCATTTCGCTTATTCGAGGAATTTTAGAGCTGAAATTATTAGTTGTTACTCAATTAGTCGATCAGAAACCGTCTGTAATCGATTCATTGTGAGTTTTTCTTTTCTTTGATTGTAAACCGAATATCTTTTGGCCTGTTGGTCGGACCAAACTAGGGATTTTTATGTCAACAGTAAACAACTGTAAAGGCTGTTATTCACCTTTTATCCTGATATATTTTTGAGCGTGTTAGTTAAAGGGATTATACTGGTGAACTCCTGAACATTATTTGGATTTTTTTACACATTTATACCTTCTCGGGCTGCCATTGATTTCTGTTTATGTCAGTGTAATCAGCTCAGAGAGAGTTGAAACTCACTTCTGATAATAATACTGTAATCTTCTACTACTGTCCACTGCCAGTAATGCATCATTAGTAATGTATCTGTAATGTAGCGCATTGTTTCCCAATCAATCCTCGCTTCAAGCTGCATTATCTCCTAATGATTACTTAAGTGGCCACAAAAAAAAAAAACCCAGACATGAAGCTCACTGTCATTGACGACCAGTGGAGTCATTGCAGGGGGAAAGACTATATGTTCGGCTGTAATATCAAATGTAAATAATAATATAAAGTGCTAATCCAGCTGATATTATCTGTTATTTTGTGTACAGTACCTCACAACCAGATCATCTCAACAACACCGAACCTTCAGAGCGAACTGGCTGGGACACACAGTGCATGACTTCCAGTTTACAAGCTCACTCAAAGACCGCTAAAGCCACAGAAAACAATCACGACGGGATAAAAAAAAAACAAATCAGCTGCGGAGCTATTAAACAGAGCACAATACTTGGAACCGACTTGTTCAGTTCAAAGTAATAACAAAATGTCCGGGCTTCAAGGGAGTAAATGGCAGGAAAGAGAGAACAGTAAGCCAGTAATTATTGATTAATTTCCTCCAACAAATGGCAGCAAATGATTCTTAATTGTTTTCTGGTTTTCACGTCCTTGAATTGTAAGAGTTGCAAATGGACAGACGCAGTGAGAATGGACAGGAAGAGAGGATGAAAAGGCGCTGGTTGTTTTTCTGCCGAGATACGGAGGAGAAAAACCGAAGCCAGGCATCGTACGTGAACGCATCAAAGCACGGAAAGAGAGGTTTGAACGGATGAAGGTACAGATGTTAAGCAAGGTGGGAAAAAAAAGGGAGGAAGCTGCGGATTTTACTCCAGGTACGACCGACAAATTGAAAAACCCACTGAACTGTTAAACCGTGAGTTCGCCGCTAACAGTTTGAACAGTTTTAATAGTCTCTCCATGTTCTGATTAATGAGATTTACCCTCCAGGATAGTGTATTTTATCCCACACGTGATTTTCGGTCGTTCAGTCGCTCGCAGACTGTCCTCAACCTGCCAATAGAGTATTTATATCCCAAAGAGTTTACAGAACATAGTCACTCTTTCCAAGTCTTATTCCAGGTTAGCAGGCCAGGTGCAGTGGAAACCCGGCCCTTTTGTTAGTTGCAGTCGGTGGCGAGATCACATTACCCTACATTATTCAGCTCCAGCTGCAGTCATCCTCTCTTTTCTGTAAAACTCAACAACCCCTCCCTCCGTCCCTCCTCTTCCCTTCCGTCACTCATCGGCTTTATGTCGCTCTGGCTCGCCGACACGAGCCGGTAGAGTTATCCAGCGAGCCATTAAAGGACATTGAGCCTTTAGGTGTAGATTATGTTAATTAATTGCTGTTTCAACAATAGGCTCTTTTTCTTTTTTTTTGACATGACGCAGCAGAAAGAGACGACTGTTATTGATTGCTTTAATTGATAGCTGCGTTCCATTTAGATGTGCCAGGTGTTGCTCTTTCTCTAGTCTGGTTTACTCAGATACCAAAATGAAGTTAAATATCAGTTATACAGGATAAAAAATAACTTCCAGCTGCTTTTTTCTACTCTGAAGAGTCATAATGTTTATTGTATGAGCTTAAAGCAAAAGGTAGGTGATAATAATAGGAAAGGTTGGCGAGTTTTGAGCTACGTACCAGCCCCTAAATTATAGTCACGAGTAGGGAAGAACCGATTGAATAAAGCACTGGTATTGGATAATCGATACCGAGTTTAAGTATCGTAATCTGTACCAGGAAAGAAGAGTTGAACTGGTGCATCCCCGGTCACAAGGTTTGGTGCACGACCAAGCAAATACGATTGCGGCCAAAACGTTTGTCACTGGTCTTTCGGCTCAACCTTACAGAGAAGATCAGGGGCCCCAAGCGTCCTGGAAAACCTGGATATTTAGAGACTAGTTTCCAGTCATGGAAAAGCACGGAGAATGACATATTATCCTGAAAACAATCTGTGTTGTCCTGGAAAATTTGAATTCTATTTAAGCCTGTGCTGTGGTCAAATGAATGATACCGGTAGAGGAAAGCTGCGGTCAGTAGATCCTTTACACAAAGGCCATTTTGATATTAAATATTAGGGCAAACGCAGGTTGTTACCGATGATACTAATGAAGGTTACGTCCCATTTAGGTCAAACAGCCAGGGGGGATGTTGGCTCGCTGGAAAGGCTCTGCTGCACTAAACGCAACACAACCTTAATAATTAATATCATTGGTAGCACCTGTGTTCACCCTTCTTTGGTTTATGGAAAAAGGTCGATGATGACCATCGTTTCTGAACAAGTGCTGTCCTGTATCGTCAAGAAAAGGTCCTGGAAAAGTAGGAATCCTATAAGATGAGGAGCTCAGAGTTGAGATTGGTCGGGCTTCAGATCTGGGTGCCTCTTGTGAAGATATTCTGGTTAAGTCCAACTAGGAGGAGACCTCGATGCAGACCTCACACTGATCTGGGAACGCCTCAGAAAACCCCAGAAGGAGCTCAGGGAGAGCTGGGCTGTGACTGCAAGAAGTATGTCTGGATTACTGTAATTAGTTTTAATAATGGCGCCAGGAGTTGCATGAACATCGAGTGATACATGAGATTGGTTTGATGCTCTTGTCAACCTTTCAGCCAGTGGCTAACCAAGATTTTAATGTTTTAATGCGTCTAATTTGCACACAGGCTAATGAACGTAGTAGAACATTCAAATAAACCCTCGACAGATGGCGAGCATCAGACTCTAGTAACCACAAATATACATTTTGTTCTCAGTTGCTGCAGGCAAACTAGAGGATCGAGTGGTGCATCAGAATAGTGAGCTGTGGCAGCATATTTACAAAGACGTATCGGACACGTCGCATTACACTTGAGAATAAAAACTGTGCGTCACATCCATAAGAAACTCAACAGCTGTGAGTGTTTAATAAAGATTCGGTAAAGCTTGAATTGTGCCTCACGCAACATCTCAAACAGACGTGGACAAAGGGAACACGCCCGTGGCAGCTGGGGGTGAGATGATAGGTAGGTAGGTAGTTTGGCGCGGTGTTGAGTTCCCCGCTGCGGTCTTAGTCATTCTTTCATGGGCAGATGGCAAAGCCACGTCTGAATCCGCTCATGCTTTATTCATCGTCAGCACACAGCGAGCGAGGCTATGAGACAGCGCTCGTCTTTTGTCTGGAGTCTCTTTATTCATCCGGACTGACTCACCTTTTCTAGGATGGCCTGTCCAACAGCACAGCGCTCTGCCACTGGTCAATATTTGAAAGCTCTCTTCATTACTTATGTACAGGACATCGCTCTCGCCTCTCGCTGCCATCTTACCATCTAGATGTTGTGGTAGAATAAGATATCCGGCTTCTTGTGGTGGTGGCATTGAAAAACGGAGAGATTATCTCACCGGTATCGGACCTCTGGGTGTCGGTCTTAAACTGAATCCACATAAATGAAGTTCAGGAGTTAAAAATGCTCAGTTTTTGCAGCACAAATTATTATTATTTTACTGAAAATAACTATTAAAATCATGATGATGTGACATTTTTTGGGGGCTCTGTTCCAAACAAAGTACTCGGTACATCTGTGCACGGAGAGTAGAGTGCAGTGTGGTTGACTATTGGAAGTATTTATTAGAAAATAAAGTGAAATATACACATTTAGTTTCAGATCCTGATAAGTCTGAATTTCTGGACCACATAGCAGGCGGTCCTCCACAGCCTGTAAAGTTGGGAAATTCCACACGACCCCGTCAAGTATTTGTACTACCAGTGACGAGCCGGAGTGTAGAGGATGTTATCCCAACATGAAAACATGAATGGCTCTCGTTAGCAGCCTTGAAATGTTAAGTTAAATTCAGATTATATGCATATACGTACCAGCGATGTGACGATACATCGAACTCACGATTCGATAAAATTCACAGTAGGATTTTCTGGTTATCTTTAACATTCCTGATATGTGCCAACAACCTGGCAAATTATTGAAACATGAGTTGAAGAGAAACATGAGTTGATTGGGGCTTGTTTTACAGATGGTTGAGTTTGAATAAAGGTGAGTTAACAAGTTAATTAAGATGGTTTTAGTTGGGGAAAAGAAAGAAAGTTGATTTCAGAAGATGTTTTTAGATACTTTCTTTTTCTTCCTGGACATTTTGTGAGTTTATTTAGTTTATTAAAGCTTTGTGTAACCCTAACCCCAGCAGCCGTTGTCACACTACTACCTGCGTTTGTACCAAACCTGTACACAGATCAGATGTTCTCACTGACAGCAGCAGGGCAGACAAGAAGAACCATTTTGGAGTGAAAACAATATGCCGGCTTTGTTTCAGTGACATCTGTCAGGTGCACAAAGTCTCTAAGCTGGTCGCTGTTGATTGATACCTGAAGAGAGGTTGTCCAAGTCCCGTCTACAACAGATCCACACGGACCTCCTCTCTCAACAGATATTACACAAAACACTACAGGACGCCTTTATAGCAACCCTAAGTACGAGTTTTACAGTCACATTGTGGACAAAGCGAGTGTTTTTACGCCCTGGAGGTTCTATAGGATGATCTGCTCATATTTAAACATAAAGATGAACATTAAACATTTGCTAAAAGCACCAAGTGTGTGTTGGAAACCTGATATTTCACCATGTTTTTTTTTTTACAGCCTCTCCGAGCATATTTCCAGTGAGACTGTCCCAGAAATTGTCCTTGAATGTCAGCTGTGTTTTTTTTCTCCCATGCTTATGTTTGTTTGCTCACTCTGTGTGTGCTCTGTTTGTCTGTTCCTCAGTTCTTTAGAAGGGACCAGGGGGATTTCTTCATCGGCTGCTTGTTTCTAACAGAGCTCAGCACACCCTTCGTCTCCCTGGGGAAGATACTTATTCAGGTGAGACGGCCTGAACACGCACACCAGACGCAGACTGAGAGGTCATGCATCTGTCATGTGCTGTATGTTGTCCCTTTTTTTTTTAATCTAAAATCTCCAAAGATAAAGGTTCTGAGGCTGCAACCATTACTGCGTCAGGTAGGTCAAGTACCATATAGACAAGTCGGTCAATCATTTGCTAAACAGTCAGTTATTGTCCAAGGCCCCTCAAGCTTTCTCCATATGCCCAAACAGTATGCACGGGGCTTTAGTAAGAGTAATTCAGAGTAGTAGAAAGAGTTTCGAGGGTCTTTTTATAGCTGTTTGTCAACTCAAATTAAATATATTTAAAGTTTAGATTATTATTTAAGATCTAAACTTTAAAGACCTGAATGTAAGCTTTATTCACAAATCAACTCATAAAACAGTGAGAAGAAAAGAGGCCTATTAAGTATTTATGATGGTTAAAAGGTTTAAAAAATACACGATTGTATAAAAAGATCCTACAAATATCAGGAAAACTCGTCTCTTATTCGATATTCAGAAGAAATAATCTGCTCAAAA